AACAGAAACAAGCTCATAGATACAGAGACAAACTGATGGTTGCTGTATGGGAACAGGGGGAGAGGGAGGGATGAAAAAGGTGAAGAGATTAAGAAGTAAAAATGACCAGTCATAGAAACAGTCACAGGAATACAAAGTAAAGCATAGGGAATATAGTCAATAATATTGTAATAACTATGTATGGTGTTAGATGGGTACTAGGCTTATCGGAATGATCACTTCGTAAGTTACATAAATGCCTAAAAATTATGTTGCACATCTGAAATTAATAGACTATTGTATGTCAACTGTAATTGAAATATTAAAAAATTTTAAAAAATAAAAGAATGAGCTCCTCAAAGTTTCAGCACAACGGGCATTCCAGAATGTTCGTTGATTTGCCAAGTTCCTACTGGTTACCATTTAAACAAAGATGCAAGTTTAAATGTGAGACATGTCCAAATCCAAAATGCCAAATAAAGTTCTCCTTACCTCTCCACGGCATCCCTGAGGAGCTGCTGCAAGTCCACTTCCTGTTTCCTCAGGGTTCCAAATGAAGACTGACTCTCCATAAGGCCTTTGCCTCCAATATTCAACTTGACCTTCCCCAGTGTCGTCTCGATGGTTCCACTCACGTGGTTTTTAAACTTTCCCTCGTATTTCACAAAGTCCGACTCCACGACCACTGAAGTGAATAAGACATACAAGGGAATCTGATGACAATATGGCCACCTCTGGGTCTTAGGTCACTTAGCTTTCCAATCCTGTGAAGATGCATGGGAAACACGAGGCTTGCATTCAAAATGGAAAGCTGGCAGCCATGCTGTGTGTATGGGGAGAGGGAAATGGAGCCAGCACACCTGGGCGCTGACAGAGCGCGTGGCGTGAACTGGGTGGGGGCCAGGGCTCTACTGGGTGCTTTTATGTTTTTTCATCTTTTAATTCCAATATATACATATATAATCAAATGCATAAATAATATCTATAGAATTTAATGAATAATTTTAAAGCAAGCATCTGTTTAACCACTATCCAGGTGAAGAAATAGAACATTTTAAATGTGTGCCTTTCCAGAGTGAAAGAACTAAATGAAGATGACACCCAAACAAAGAGAAAATAGCAGACCCTCGAGTGGCCTGCCTTACTCAGTGTCTGGCAGGTCAGCCACCTGCACTTGTCCTCAGGTCCCTTCCCACCCGCCAGTCTTAAAGAACATTCCTCTGGCTTTCATTACCATCTGTCACACTTATCTGCTTGTATCTGACCTCTACCCAGTCAGTCATTCTATTCCTCGTCATGCAATTCCTTATCTCTGTCCTCCTGAGTCAGTCGGCATGCCCTCCCTCAAACACCACCCTGGAACATGCGAACTCCAGACTCCCCATTCTGCTGGCTTCCCAGACACTAAGGAAGCTGCTCCCACCCACCTGGTGTCCCAGCTTCAATCAAAATCTCCTGGGTATTGCCAAGCTCCTCATCTGTCATTTCCAGGTGATTGCTACAGACTGCCTACAAGATCTGCCCATTTTATCTGAACACTAAAAATAAGTATCTGATGATCTCATACCCGAACTGTCAGTCTTCTCACACATACAGATTTCTAACGTACAGATTTTTAATCCAACTGAATACTGCCATAGAAAGAGTTTCCGTCATCATCACTCAGGAACATAGATTCAGAGTCTCGAAGGAACTTCACACTTGGCCTTATCCTTTTCCCCAACCCAAGGCTCTCCTGGGCCCCTGGTGGTGCTGCTTAGGGGATTCAAATCCATTTGGAGTCTGAAAGTCTTCTTTCTTTCCATCTACTCACTGCCCTCAACACCTGTATTTTTTTTTTCACTCCAGTCAGGGAAACCCATTCCTCAACCAAGGTTAATGAGAATTAGTCACCATTCATTATCTTTGACATTTACAAAGTAAAGAATCATCTCCACCACCAGCAGCAAAAGGAAGCCTGTGAAAATGCCTCCACTTCAAAGCCTTTTCGTATTCACATCTTGTGAAAGAGAAACACTCTGGGAAATACTTTGAGAAGCAGCACAGAGCCCTGCCAAGAGCTTGAGATTTTATCACTACTCTAATATTCCTTGCTGGGAGACCTTGTGGAACATTCAGAGCCCTGACCCTCAGGTTTGTGAATTGTAATTTGGAGATGATTAATAATACCTACCTGATGGATTCTGTGTTAAGTCCATGTATGTAAAGCATGTAAAACAGAGCCTGGCACATAGTAAGTGCTCAATCTATCCACTGGGTTTAGGCCAGAACATCATCCCTGATAAACAAGAGCGTCTCGGGCTGTACAAAGTGCTACACAAACAGAAATTCTATCTTTAGGTCACAATTCTGGTCTCAGTCAGGTTATTACCACTCCTGGACACTGTGGGGACACACCTAAGACTGTCTGTGTATTCCAAAAAAAGTTACCCTGGACACACCTCCAAAAAAGATGTTGTTTGTACACCCTTCTGCCTCATGCCATCAGCTGCTGCCGGTGGAGGGGAAAGAGCGAGGAAAGCAATAGGCTCTCACTGGACTGAACAACTAAGTCGCCATCCCTCAACCTTCACGTCCCCGGGCTATGCTCTGTAGGTAAGGTGGAGGACATCTCTCATCACAGCCCTAACACCAACAGGACACAGAACCAGGGTGAGCTCTGGCCTCAGATGATGAACATATTTGAGACTTCTTCATCTGCAGCGACAACAACTGGCCTCATCCATCTAACACGAGTCTTTATGAACTTTCGGGACACCACAAAAGAGGCTCTTCAGCAGCAGGGCAGTGAAACTACACTTACTCAGGGGTCCACGATCTATTCTGTGAATTTTTCTCTCTTGCCCACAGTAGAAGTTCTACCAGAAATCCAGGTGCGGGGGTGAGTTGACATAAAATGAATATCGGTCCATGCACCCATAGCTAGACAGTTCTGAAAACGAGTCTAGCTGAAGAAAACACTGGCTAGAATGTGGGTCTGGAAGAAAGTTTAGTGATTAACCAATTAACTCCTCTCTCTTTTCCCCTTTACTAGAGATGCAGTCACAAAATTGGAGAACTTCAGAGCCGAAAGAAGACTTGGACAACATTTAGTCCAATAATTAAGAGCTGATGATACTTTCACATATCACCATGTTCCAAAAAGTAGTATAGTAATGAGTAGCAAAAATCTTCAATGAGTAGCATAAGGATGCTACATAAGTAGCATAGTAATGAGTAGCATAAGGATGCTGATGCATTTGCTTAAAGGAAAAACAAATTCAGACAAAAATGTTCACTGCAGCCTTACTTATTAAGCACTACACTGGAATGGTTAAGGAAATAAATGAAGGTGCTTACATACAAAAAAATATTATGTGTCTGTTGAAAATAGTATGAAGAAATATTTAAAACCATAGAGGAAAACTTATATAAAGTTAAATAAAAAATAAGTAAAGAGAATATAAAATTATATATATTATGTTTTGATTTTGTTTCTAAAAGTTAGATGCAGAAGTAAAAAAGACTACAGTCCGAGTACTAATGGGAATTAACGGTTGATGGTGGCATTTTTGTTGATTTATTTTCTTCATGCCTTTCTATATTTTATAAATTACTGTAATAATGAGTCTGACTCTATTTTTAATGTTTGACGGCTGACAGCTTTCAAGCCCATCACTCCCTCTTCCCTTTGTTACACATCTGGACAAGCTAGTAAGAAAACCCAGGTGTTCCCTACATTGTCACTGGCTGGAAATTCAAACCTTGAAAGCCACAGCCTACATGCAGAACCCTCATCCTACCTCTTCATCACAATCAAAGCTGAGTCCATCTCCTTACCCCCACACCCCATCTCTAGCTGTTTTTGGACCAGCTTGGGAGCCTGCCACCCTCTACCCAGAAAGCTTCCTTATGTGAGTAATAAAACATTTCATACCCTCTTGATGTATAGGTACCATCATCAACCTCAACACCAAACCAAATTTGGGTGGTAGATCCATCCTACTTACATTGGCATCTACAATGGGCATGTCTGCCTTTATGCCCCAAACTGTAATATCAGTTTTTAAAGATTAATTTATAACTTTTAATGTCAGATGTACAGAATTTTGTTCATTTTAGAATGTTTTTAAGATAGTAGACAAAGAAACAGGAGACGTCATTATAAGGTATCACCTTATAATCACTCGAGACATGTGTCTAGAAAAAACATCATCTTCTGTTCTGGGATTAACTATAGAACGCAGCAAATAAACATACCTGGACTCAGAAATTGGTCTTCTATGAGCACATCTCCAAGGGTGACAGATAAAAAGTTATACTTTGGTCTCTGCCAGCACCAGAATCTCTTTTTTTTGGTCACTAGGCTTAGAAGTTGTAACTTATCAGAGTCATTCAAGTTCGATACTGCAATCAGATCACCTCCAGAATCAACTTCTCTAAGAAAATTCTTTGTTGCTTTGGCAAACATTTTGAGAGCTCCGAATTACCTGAAAAAAAATAATAATGTTATCCCCAAATTAGTCATTATTTCATAACTTTTTTCCTAAAATTACCTTGTTCCTCCCTAGTATCAATCAGTATCCATTAAAGAAAACTTTCTTACTAGAAAAGCCTCTAGCTTGAGTTCAGTAGATGACAAATAAATCAAACTGAAATTACTGAAAGAGACTGTGTATATAAGTCAGGGTAGGCAAGGTTATGCTTCAGAAACAAATAACTTCCAAATCTTAGTGGCTTATAACAATAAATGTTTATTTACTGCTGAAACTACATGTCCAATACAGGAGGACAGGAGAGCTTTGCTCATCACAGTCATTCAGGGAGCCAAGCTGAAGGGGAGACCACCATCCTGAACATTGTCAGTCATCAGCCAACAGGAAAGAGAGTTCCAGAAAGTCTCAGACCAGCAGTTAAATGCTCTGGCCCCAAAATGACACACACACATCACGTCCACCCACAAATTGTCAGAACTAGTCACATGGCCTCAGCCAACCATAATGGTCAGGAAATACAATCCTACGCCAGGTATCTGGAAGGTGGAGACCTGGGAATATCTGTGGAGCAAAATACTGACTACCCCAATTTGCATCTTACTTATGACCGCTTCTTTGAAGAGTCAAAGGTGCTTTTTCTCTACACTATGTGATTTCTCCTTTATTAATGGAAATTAACTAGCTATTACTTTTTCAACCAGAAATGAAGGCCCAGTCACTCTACAGCTGAGACACACTGGAAGATATAAAAGTAGTATATTTAGCGAATGAAATATAAAGTATTCAACACATGCTGCTAGAACTGGCTAATCATCTGGAAAAAATAAAGTCTCATGTGTTTTGATCTCATGCATTACATTCTCAATAGACTGGATGGTTTTTCAAGGAAAAATGAAACCATAAAGGTACTAGAAAAAACACAGACAAATATTTGTACAATTGTAGGATGAGAATGGCCTTGAAGAAGACAAATAGAAACTGAAAAAATACTTGTAAGATTTATAACAAAGAACTTATATATATATAAAAGGTTAATATATAAAAAAAAACTTTTGCAAATAAAGTTCTAAAATACTGTAGTAAAAACATGAACAAAGGTTATAAACATTTCACAATACATAAATTGCACATAGCCACATAGCCATATATATATATAAAAATGCATACATATGTGTACACATACAAATACATATATATATAATCATTATTACTCAAAAAAAAGCACAAACTGAAATAAGATTTTTTAAAACTATCCATGGTCAAAGGTTAAAATGTATAATGGACAAGAATTGTGTTTTATTTGTATTTGTACCATGGTGTCTGGTAGTCACATAGATAATAAAATCATAGAATGTGAAAGCCAGGAGTAATCTCAGATATTAACTAGCTCAACCCATTTTTTTTAACATAAATTTTCTCTATGGAATCAGAAAACATTTGTCTTACTCAACATCAGTTCTTCTCTAAAGTATCTTAAAATTATCATGTAGCTACCTAACTCTGTTCTTGAATGTTAACAATAAGAATAAACATTTAAAGAAGAGATTCTAAAAACATGCACAAATTACCTTTCTGAGAAAGAATAAATTGCAAAGAAAGAAAACTAAGTACTATGCTCAGGCTTTCACCTCTAATTAAGCTCTCACTATACTAAGCATCAAGATCTTACATGCAATGGACATTCTCTTGTTCATTTATCGAGACATTTATTGAATCAATCATCAGTTATTCTTAAGTACCTACTATACTCAGGTACCATGTTGAAGCACTTAAGATACAGAGCAAAAAGTGGTCTCTGTCCTTAATGAGTATGGTGGCCAGATGGAGAAATAAGCAGCTAAGCTTTATCCTATATATTAACACTGATTGCTACAAGGAATGAACAAAGAAAAAGGCATCTAAAGCCAACTGGAGGGAGCATAGGGTCACAGAAGTTGCTAAGTAGAAGCAAGCAGGCAAAGAGCACTGAGAAGATGCGCTAGCAGATGAGCGGCACTTCTAAATGCCCCAAATTTGCAGGTGGCGGTGAGGGGTGGGGAAGACAGTGCAAAGCAAGATTTGTGGCCACCAATTTCTTAACGTCCAGGAGATACAGCTTTGTGATGGGATGCCCATCAGCACTTCCTTGACAGACCTGTAATTGCTTTTCAAGCTCTGAGACAAGTTTCACACTTGAGCGCAGAGTTCTAGAGTTCGGTAGGGCAAAGGTCAAGGATGCAGCCCCGGTCCACATCTGTGGAGGAGAGACTGCTCCAAGACATGTCCGCTGCTGGACCCATGAGCTAGAGCTGGGCCAGAACAGAGACTGCTTCCTGTAAAACCCATACAAGACTATCTTTGATGGATATCTTCCTTCTGACATAAACCAGTACCTCTCCCGTGTCCCATGGGTGGTGGTTCATGGAACAGGCCATTGTTCTGACCTGGGCAAGCATATAAGGCATTTTCTTGCACCTGGTACGAGGTTCATACCAGTACCCCCATCCAACCTGCCCTGTTCTAGATAATTTTTTGGCACTGCTCGAGTGGCACAAAGGATATCCTCTTTGAATTGCAGCTGTCCCAGATGTGTCTCATGAGTTTCCCTTAATAAACTCTGTTAATTGCCAGACTCCATGGAGGGGCCTGCCTCTTTCTTCAGTCTGTCTCTGCCCTCTGCTTACAGAGACATATTTTTCAGTCTGAGGACTTTTTCCTGGGTCTGCATGTATGAACAAGGCCCAAAAGACTCATGCCTCTCCTGCTGGGGGCCAAGGCAGCAGGAGCCATCAGACGGACTGTATAGGGTACAATGTGATCTGAGTATTCCCTTAAAAAGACCTTCTAGAAGCAAAATAGAAAACCAGCTGTAAGATTAAAGATGGACAACAAATGACAATGCTGAACTATGTCGGTGGCCTAAGGATAGAAAAGATGCTGGTTTGGTGGATTCCCCAGGACTCTGATTGGAAGAAAGAGAGGAGACCCCCTAGAATGGCCTTCAGCTAGCTCAGCTGTGGGCTTGGCTGATGAGATGGAAACTCCAGTCACCAAGAGAGGCAATTAAGGAGGAAGCAGATCAGTGGGGAACAATAAGGCAGTATTGAGGATAAGGTGCAAGATTTATTTTGCCAAACTTTTAACAATATAAGGTCTCCCCAGTGACCTATGGGAATTCACCCTGCTTGTCTAAAAGACAAGCTGCAACAGACTCTGCCTCCGTTTACTACTGGTGTTAGGATCTCTGTCTTATTGGTTCCTATTCTTTTCTGGGACAAAGGGAGTTCACTAACTTGCCTTCAGATCAAATGGGTTTCTGAAGAATCCAAATTGGGCTTGCCATTACAAAACAAAACAAAACATAACAAAACCCATCTGTTATACAGGGTAAATAAAGCCTTAGTAATGATGCCAATCCTCCCCCAGAGGAATAGAAGATGCAGAAAGGGTACTGCTAAATTGCCTTTTTTTTTTTTTAATCTAACGTCAAACGCCGCCAGTTTGCCTTGTTGACATGATAGGTTGCCTTAGAAAGAGTTAACTGAGATGGCTATTGATTCGCAGAGGTTTTTTTCTTAGCCTCAGGCTTATTCAATCAAGGAATATATTCTCCTTGTGAAGTCAGAGTATTTTTATTATTGTGTCTGAGTACATAATATATTTTATGTGAGGAGACAGACACCAAAAAGCCCCATTCCTACCCAGGTCGCATCGACTCTGTCACCCCTCTCCCCTTCGGGTGTACTACCTTCGTGTTTCTTTATGCAAATGTAAGTAAGAAGCAGTCCACATTCTGTTCCACACCTTGCTTTTTGTCTTGTAACAATATGCCCTGGAGATCTTCCCATGATAGTGCCTTCTTCTTTATGGCTGCATGACACTCCATCATGAGGATGTATTGTTATTTATGTAATATTGCTGGTTACTCAGGTTATTTCTAATTTTCTTTCCTAAGTTTTTGTTATGATAAAAATGCCACACTAAATGCTCTTGAATGTATATCTTCTTCATACATGGGCAATAGTATCCAAAGGGAAATTTCCAGAAGAGGGATTGCTAGGTCAATGGTAAATGTATCTATAATTTATAGGCTGTACCATTTTGCAGTAACACCAATAAGATAGGAAAGTATCAGTCTCAGCAACTGAATATATTATCAAACTTCTGTCTTTTTGTCAGTCTCATAGATGAGAAATGGTATCTCAGTATAGTTTTAAGTTATGTCATTTTAATAAAAATGAAATCAAGCCTCTTTTGTTTAAAGCCTTTTGTATTCCTTTTTTTTAATTGTGTCATTGGCCATTTTCTATTGTTTCTTTTTTCTTTACTCCTAAGAACTTCTGATACAATAGATCAGGCAAGATATAGGCTAGAAATTTAATGCAACAGATTTTATCATGGGGCACTGGGAGACGATAAGCTGCCACATCTACTCAAACATCTAAAGTAACTGCCCAGGAAAAGTTAGATTATGCGCCTGGGGCCAACTAAACTATCTAGAACCTAAGTGGTCTGACACTGACAAGCACAATAATGTCTCTGTTAACCGGAAATCAGACTTCAGATTCAAATTTCCAGAATGCTCCAACCTGGAAGCAGACGAAAATGGCTTCGTGAGCGATCTAGCTCAAAATGCTCACAATCAAAAACCTGATGCCCTTCACAGCTGTACCACAGATCCTGGACCCTCACACAGGGCCTTAAGAATTCTATTAGCATATAGTCCCTTCTCACCTGCCTATGTGGCTTCCCAGTTTCCCAAAGCAGAACTCAGAGAGCCAAATGAAGTAAGGATATGCACGCTTGAATCAGACTCCTGCATAAGAGATCTCAAAGAAAGAGATGGGGAAACCGAGACACCAACACAGAGTCAGAAAAGCACATGACTACCTGGGGCCACTGGCTCCTGGGAGCAAAGAATCCTAAAAATAGTTGCTGAGGTAATGATTGCATAAGAAGATACTATCATCACTAGTGTCCATTCTTAAGACCGATTCAGAGTGATGGGATGATCAAACCTTTGAATTGGAGAGAACCCAGTTCTTTCTCATTCTCAACCTGTTTCTTCTCTAGAGCAGCTCTGTTTGCTCACTGGGCCTCTGCCCGAATAGTTCTAGGGAAGAAACCTCAACATCAAAATAAATTAGTTCAAGAGAGGGACAACTGTACGTTGAGTAACCGCTATGTGCCAGGCATTGGGCTACATCCTCTCTATTCATTTTGTCATTTCATCTCCACAGTAACCCCAAGCAGGCATTGTCCACATTTCACAGATGTGGCAACTGAAGTTCAAAAATGTCAAGTAACTTGCCCAAGATTACAAGAAAAAAAGAAGCGGCTGTGACATCTGGAAACAGGCCTGGAATGATCAGCTGGCCTGGAGTTCCCCTGCTGGACACGAACGATGTCACAGAACATCAACATTGGGCAAGGCCACTCTGGTCAGGACAAATCAAAACCAAAACGAGACCTGTCATCATCTTGACTGACCACAGAAAAAAATGTAAACATTGCCCAAACCACAAAAATGACCAAACACCCCCCGCTACCACCACCCACCCTGGCTACGGAGTGACTGCTGCATCTTGGTCAACCACAGCTTTAGCCTCACTCTGTCATCCCTCCTTCTAGACAAATTATGAAGATACTCAACACGATCTCCTGCAATCCTCGCAGCATCCAACAGAGTGAAGTTCCGTTTCCATAAACTCTCCCCCAAATCACCTACAAGCCTGAATCCCCTAATTCCCTTCTAACACCCACTTACTGAGACCTGCCAGGGTTCCGCATGACACGAGGTCTTCCTTAGTGCGACAAGCAACAAACCCAACTTATTCAACTCTAAGTGTGTTCCTGAAAGTCTTTGACTAGCAGCCATTTATTCTCATATTAGAGAATTAATGCTGAGCCCAGATTCCAACCAAGATCCACCTGCCTCCCCAGCCTGAGCCCTGACCACTCTGCTCTGTTGACGCCCCAGTCAGTCGTTTTGTTTTGTTTTGTTTTGTTTTAATCTGGGCTACGAATGACTCATTTTGTAAAGTAAGAAAGTGTGTTCAAAAGGGTAAACTTCAGTTATGGTGGAAGCAAAAATCATGGCTATGGAACACATTATTTCCTCACGGCCTAGGGAAATGCGACATTGCTGTACTTGTCTCCTAGCTAACAACTTCAGCACCTTTTGAGTTATTTCTGGTTTTCTCAATAACAAAGTGAAATTGAGTCTATAAAATTAAAACAGAGGTGTCATCCTTTTACATCTTTGGGCCAGTACCTGAGCTCACTTTTATAATAAGATGACGAATTAAAGACCAGGTACTCTATCATTTCCTCCTAAAATAAAAATTAGTATGCAAAATACAAAAAACAAAGGATGGTCACTAGACAGGCCTGAATTTGGAAAAAGGAGGCAGGGTGAGGCAAAGGCCTTTGGGCAGTGGAGTGGATAACAGAAGAGAGACTGATTAAGGATAGAGAAGAACCCTCTGGATCCCTTGAGAAAGAACAAAAAGAAAAGCAGTTCTGGAAACCACAAAGCCTCCTGTTAACAGCAGGCGAGCTGAGGGGCAGCAGCTGGGAGCTTGGGCCACGTTTTTTCCAAGTCTCCAGTTGCCTGGGCTCAGCTTCTCCAGGCTGTTTTCCTTTATCAGAAGAGCTCGTTGGTGGTGGATTTTGAAAATGACTCTTTTACTCTAATTTATTCAGCGGTTTCTCTGACAGCACAGCTGTCATATCACTGGCGCATCATCTATCTGCCTCTTGCCGCAGCGATATCAAGACACGCATCCCTCTCACCACCCTGTTCACTCCCTGGTGCAGGGAAGGCTGTGAACGAGTGGTTTTTTAACAATCTACAACAAACGCGCTCCCGAGAGCCGCCGTCTAGTCTTCCCTTCTCAGGTGCAGGTGGGAAGCGGACTCCTGGCAGCGTCTGGGGTCCGCACGCTAAGGCCCCGGGAAGCGAGGTGGCCAGCTGCGATGTCATCCCACCCCAGGCCGGGAACCGCCGGGGGGCCCTGCCTCCTCCCCATCCCAGACCCAGGCGGTCGAGGCCGGTCCCGGTGCCGAGAGACCGAATTCCGCGTCGGCTCCGGCCTTTCCGCACACAGGCCCCCCAGGCTGGGAAAAGCCTCAGCACAGCTGGAGAGGAAACCGGAACAAAGAATGAAGGATTGGGGACGGGATGGTGACGACGGACGACAGAGGTACCAGCTGCCCTTCCAACAGCCAGGGGAGGCAGTGGCAGCGGGGGCAGGAGGGTGGGACGGGGGCAGTGGTAGGGGAGCGACGCGGCCCGCTGTCCTGCTGCGGACAGCCGACCGATCCGCCTGCCTTCAGGGGGACAGAGGGGAGGGGTGTCCCCGAGAGGAGGCAGCCGCGCCGGGACGCAGCGCAGCCCGCCCGCCCGCACTCA